CTGGCAACTGAGGCCACAGAGCATGGGTGAGTGGTAGAGAACAGCAAATCTCACAGCCACTGCAGGGACATAGGGAATCATTGAACACAATGTCATGTGACAGCCCAGGCCCGAACAGGAAATGCTACTGTGCTGAAAGTCACTGGGACCACAAAGTATAATACATTACAATACATTACAATAATGGGACTGTGAGCTTCTGCATTTCTCTACCTCATTACAAACAATGATGATTTCCATTATTGCATAATCTGCCAACTTTTGTTTGTGATCAATTTAATAATGTATTCCTGAAAAAGTCGTAAAATACTGAAAAACTCCCATCACAAGCTCTCACCTGACATCCCATGTTGCTTCTTTTGTCCAATACTTGCTCCAAAATCCCAAACTATTCAGTTTATAATAATCACATCTTTTCTCTTAAATAGCTGGAATCGGCAGATGTTTGTTGCTTGAACAACTTGAAACAATTATTCAGTTACTAAAACAGCTGTACTAATTTATTGTAGTGTCAAATAGGGAGCATGTCACCACTGGTGTGTGGGTTCACATCAAATACTAGGGAGCAACTGTTTATGCATATGATGTACCAGTGCTGTGTTCTGCACTGCAGGACTGACATTACACGGTTAACATTGCTGCCACTTCCCAGGAAGAACGCATGATTGTGTGCTTGTTGAGCACACCGCACTAGTCTCCTTGGGACTGGCTGCTCGTTCTGTGACCACTTCTCTGACACCTGACACTGCATGTCAGTCCAGGTTCTGGCAAAGTCGCAGAGGACCGAGGATCAGCTCAGATCAGCTCCCAGACCACTTCCTCCAGTGGTGATGCCAGCACCCCACCTCCAGTTAATCCACCTCCGGAATAACATACACCCCCACCGCCACTATAAACTCACTCTCACACACCTCCCATTACCCCTCTATCCCACCAGATTTGGGGGAGGGGGCAGGCAGGATGTGAGACCAGCTGGTCATCAGCTCAGACAAAGAAACCTGCTGCATGTGCTCATGCATCTAAAAGAAATTCAGATGTCTCACAGTGTTGTTTCTACATGGCCTCGTCAGCTCGAGATCTCGTTCACTTTTTAAGCACTGTGATATGGCTCAATCCTTGTTACAAAAGTTTTTAAAAACCTCTACTTCTGTTTTTCTCACAAACGTAGTCAGCTACAGTCAGGGTGGGGGGAGGGTCCATTAAAACTTCAAACTGAGGACATCTTTAAGTCTAACCTCATATATGAAAACATAATATTCACATCACAAATGGCATATTTTACCGAAGCAGGAAAGAGGAGAGCAGAAGAATCAGAAAGATGTAGTTTTACTGCAGACAGGCCAATGTCAGGTGTAATTCACCTTTGACCTAGGTAAAACATCACTCATTCTCAAGTCGTTTTTTTAAACGTTCCTTAACCTCTAGAGTCCTGAGCTTTGGAAACCCAAGCTGTGCGGTCCTCATATGAGGACGCAGGGACTCTAGAGGTTAAGATACATACTGCTGAAAGAAAGGCACATAAAATGAAACTGTTGGCCAATCAAGCTTGGCTAAACAATAGTAGACCAGTTCACGACCAGCAAGAGCAGAGTTAAGGTTCTTAATTTGGGTTTTACTTTACCCCAGGCTGAACATGCACAAGGGACTGTAGAGAAAAGTGCTCATATTTTTTATCAGTGCATTTATCAATGCTTGAAAATAAAGTCACATGACAACAAAGCAGATCCCAGAGGAAACACAGATGGAGATGCAGAGGGATCAAAACTCTGGTGCTGAGGGTTTTTTTCCCCCACACACAGGTAAAGAATTAATCCGTCACCACACACATAAAGGCAGTGGTGACAGCTGAGGGTGAAGAAGCTGTCCTCTTCCTAGGTATCATGAACCTACTCTTCCTCTTTATTCAGAATACAAAGAACAAACATCATGTTCCCATTTGGCTTCCACTGTTCAATCAAGGATATAACCAAAAGCTGGCAAACCCATGAAATCAGCCATGTATTCACTGATAGCACTGATACATGTCTTTGCAGACCAGTTACTGGATGCAACAGTTCTCATACTTCTGGTTGTGACAAGGTTTGAGGCAGAATTTCAGTACAGTAACATATCAACAGTACCTAACAGGGCCTATTAGGTAATAATACTGGGAGCAACATGCATAAAACCTGTTTTGCAAAGTCTGATGGAGGCACACCCATCAAGGATCTGTTCCCTATTTCAACAATGGAAGACAAAAACAAGCAGATGTACTCAGCCTGATACATGTATTACAGCTGTTAAGCTGTCTTCTGCACCTGCATGACCACCCCCCCCTAAAAAGAGTCCTCTATGTGCTTTTCAGCAGGTGTAGCTGACCTACAACAAACCTTAAAGATGATCATGAGTCATGATAGTGCAGGTTTTATGCAAGCGGGGTCAGGGGCAGTGCAGTACACACAGAAAACAAAGAGCCATGATGCTGGATAGGAGGCTGCAATCAGACTGGTGAATTTGTAACTGATCACAGGACTCAGGAATGGCTAAAAAGATCATGTCCTTGTCCCTAACATGATCTTTGAAGCAAGGCAACTTTTCAAATTAGCAATAAAAACTGAGATCATTTTGTAGCAAACTTAACAGCTGAAAACACAGTAGAGTACACGCAGCCTACTTAAAATCATTTCATATAGATACTTGCTAGTGTTGCATCTAATCACATCACTGCCTGATATAAACAGATCACCGCAGACAAAAACACTCAATTTTTTATACAAACCTAAAATCCTGATGTGATAAATAAAGACATCTTCACCACACATATCTAAGATTGGTGGGCAGTGCAGTGGGGGTGAGTCACAAAAAAACCTAATAAACTGTCAGGATGCCTAAAGCGCCATCTGTTCACTATGTTCAAGCCCTAACAATACTACAAATACTATCTAGACCATCCACTGCAGCAGCACTGTACTAAACCTAGCTACAAGTCATGATTGTTTGAAAGGATTACCAGTTTCCTGTGTCTAAAATAATTTAACAGCTATATTGGTTATATCACTGTGTAGTTCAGTGGTTTCAAAATGTTACTGCACATAAAAATTCACTTCGCTGCTTGTGACCATGTCCCGGAACAAGCCGCAGTCTCCTTTAAAAGAAGTCACAGTCTGTGAAGGTGTAACATCTGAAAAGATTATTCTCTTCTCTGTTTCTGGCTTATGTTGGATGTGGTGGTGCAGCCTGTAAGCACGCCAACATTGTCCAGACTATCTGCCATGCAAGACAGGCTTATTAAGAGACATGGGGTGAACTGATGAGCAAAAATGACCTGGAATGTTAGGCGGACATCTAAAAATAGCCAAAGACTGACAAGCAAGCCCACAGATTCATCTCTGACTTGAATACACAGTGACAGGGAAGAAGCACAAAAGCGCACAAAGGCATTCAGACCCTTACTCACTTGTGAGCTCATTATGGTAATGCTGTTCATCATACAGTCACTGCTCTTGTTCCCAACCCTGTATGGGCCTGACCTCTCACCATGCTCCCTCACTGAAGCTCCACTCACTCTGAGGACCGGAGAGGGACATTCAGTGTCCGCACACTATGAATTCACGTGACCGTGAGGCAGTTTGTCACCACACATTTATGTCTAGTTGAGACCAGAACCAGACAGAGAGTCGATTATCTGTCAACACCAAAGTACACGAGTGTATCGTCGTTCAGTATTACCAGGTCAATGTACCAGTTGCCCTGTGGATGTTTGACAGGTATGATCTGAGAGGAGGCCACCTCTGTCTGTAGGTAAGCTTCATCAGGCAAAGGTTTTTGTGCCAGGAGACAGCTCTACTCTGGTAACAACACTGAGGTATGTGTCCCCAGTTAAATGAAAGCCCATTTTGTGACAAATACCACAGAAAGGGATGATCTTAAAGAAGCATTCTTATGTGTAAAAAGATTTTTTTTTTTAAGTTTTACAAAGCAACTTGTGTCAGGACTTTGTTATCTTATAATTTCTTACAGTACTGTAATAAATGTGCATCCAGTGCCAAGAGACAAAAACTATTACATATGATTCACAGAAGGTAACAGGCGGGCCTGTATCAACACTTCAGCCTGTGGTTGACAACCTTCATTAATGACTGCACCAGTACGCTGAAGCCATGGGACATGAGAGACTGACTATTTCTACTAATGACCAGTGTATTCACAAGATATCCCTGCTAGATCACAGTCACAGCCAGTGCCTTGTCCTAATAATGAACAATGCCTTAAACTGAATACAACAAGGACTAAGCTGAGCAAGCGTTTTGTTCCACAGATCTAGAGGGAAAATTTACCTACAACAGTTCTGCTAACCTTATTAAATTCTTTAACTGTGCAAAAAAATTAAATGTCATATTTATTGCAGTGGGAGTGTGGTTGGGGACTGCACTGCAGCTCATTTCACGCATGCCTTCCCACACTTCATTCAAAGGAACAACGGCTTTGATCTGGGTCCCCATAAACATGCAGTATATACTCCCATACACACAAAATGTCCTGTCAGCTTGGTCAGCTTTACTCCACTGTTCATTTTCTTCAAGTTATTAAGACTGTAATGTTCTCAGAAATTCTGCAAAGGTGAACAGCATTAACTAGTTGAACTGTTTTTGAAACCTCATGCTTGGAGATAGCATGGTTAGACAAAGCTGAAATGCTATTATCTACGTATATATTAGTTTATTCTAGGAGTTACTAGTACTGTTACAGCACAATTTCCAAGGCAGCATGAAAGGAGGAACCTGTACTGAGGAGGAAGTACCTGAGCAGGTGAGGTCATTCAAGCTGTTTTACTGCTTATGTCACCTAGCACTGACCTTTACTTTTCACATATATCAATAAAACACCAGCTGTGTTTAAATGTGTAGTAGTGCACGTTGGATTTGGCCTAGTTTAATCCAGACAATCACCCAACTTCAGTAAGGAAATAAAGCTAAATGATCAAACAAAGGAGATATTCTTTCAATGTGAATGCCACCTACCTTTGGTAGCTCTTTGAGTTGGTTGGCATCGAGAAGAAGCTCTTCCAGGCTACGACTATAGCGAAATATCTCGTCAGGGACTGTCTGCAAGTTGCAGTGTCGCTTGTCCACCGACTCAACGTGGCGATTGCAGCGCCACAAGGGGATACACTTCAGCATGTCCGGCCGCTGTGGGGATTCGCTTGCCGGTGCTACATCGGAGGTTGAAGCAAGGGGAAGGTCGCTGGGGTAGCGGATCTTTTTGGGGAGTGGGCGCACTCAATGCCAAAACACTGACCACGATCCCACGTCGATCCGATTAGGAGAGGGAAATCCACTCAGAGACAAAATAATCCCTTCGCTCTGCCAGCGATATTCCCAGTTTCAGTTCAGATGCGTTCAAGGACCATCAGGTTCGTCCTAGCGTCATCCACCCCGGAATTACAATTAACATAAACAAAACTCAGAACTCCCACTTCACTGAAGTATCTCCTCGGTTCTTCACACAGACAGTCACGTTAGCTTGTTTTGCTAGCGCCACCATCCCTGAATCAGACCGAAGCTCTGTCTTGGCTAGCCGAAAAACATGCAGCCAGCGACCGAGCGATGTAGAAACGTTGCTTGAAGTATCCCAGTCATGGGTGGCGGCTGCTAATACAACCAGTTGACTACCGTTGCAGTAAGCAGCTTTCACAACGCAGTTTACATAGCTCCCGAAGCGAGTCAGTAGAGAACAACCCGAGAATGGTAGCACAGGGATGCACTTGTCCTCACCGGTTGTGTTGTTAGCAGGCTAGTTAATGTTAGCTAACATCGGCTAGTAGCTAACTGAACACCTTTGTGCCTAGCTGCCGTTAGCTAACAATAGTGTCACAGAAACTATAAAAACACCCTTTGAACCGACCAGTTGTCTGTAGTAGCAACATCCCAAAAAACATCAAGGAAACTACCCCTGGACTGCTCCTTTACAGTGACTTGGGTAAAATGCCAGCAGCGACAGCAGGAGCTCAATCAACAGCCGCGCTTCTGCCCTTGTTGAACGGAGGTAGGCCGGTTTAACTGTGGGGGGCTGGGCTAGGTTTGTGCTGGATCGTCGTTGCGTCGCTCTAGGGGAGCCGTAACAGTAACGTTATAGCGCCACTTAGCGGCGCATGCCAACTACTGTCAACTGAAGCACAACACTCCAGATTCTTACAAATCTAAACAGTAAATTTGTTTCATTTATTACGTCTCCTGCCTAGTTATCAGTTACAGGTTTTCATAATGGATGCCTAGCTAAAATTCCCCTCCGGATCACCAAAGTATCTAACCATCTATATCTATGGTTATGGGTTAAGTCATAAATACATGGTTAGTCTGTCATACAATCCTTGGTCCACAATATGAATGGTGTTTCTAATTTTTCCGATAATATGAATTTAGCAATTTTATATTCACCAGAACAAGTGTTGTTCACTTGGTGAAGGTAGAAAAATAAGCTCCCAAGAAGTGTAGATTTCTTTCAATTATAAAGATCACATCGATTTCTCAATAACCAGCATTTTTTCATATAAAAAGATTATACCAAAATTATTTCTAAGTATCTAGTTTCTTTGTATCTGAAAATGATTTCATGTCTGTGGTTCACCCTAAAATCTTTTAGTCACAATCCAGATGCCAATAAACCTGATTATAATTTATCATGGGTATGATTATTCACACAGCACTGTTCTACTCTGGATAACCACGTACAATCAACTGGGGCCTTTCCAAATACATCTTCATTCATAATCACTATTAAAAAAAAAAAAAAAAAAACGCACCACACTTTTTGTGGACAAACAATAACCTTTAATAGAAAGGAAAAAAGTGTTTAACTGTCCCAACAACTTAATGAAAAAGGAGCTAAAGCAGGAAAACCTAAACATTTCACAAGATCAGATTATAAAAATGTGACACTTGCACCAAAATTCAGTTTTCACAGATCACAAAGCAAAATCTTACATGTAAATGTTTATAATGAATCCCCCATTGAGGCATTTAATATTAACAGCAATTTAAAAAAGAAAAGTTAAACATAATTACAAGTTTCAGAGGCCTGTATCTCTAACTGCAGTGACTGGAGCTGAAATGAGTTTGGGCAACAGGTATGGTGATGGGCGCTGGTAAACCATTTCAGATACTTTACGCAGACAGGTCACTGCTGTTGAAACGGTCTTGGTCATACACCTCTGCAACAACTTTACGACCTCCGAACCAGCGGTCATTAAGGGCTTGGATTGCCTTGTTCATCTCTGAGGCCATGGAAAACTCCACAAAGATTTTGACAATGATATCTGCATCCTCCTCTTCTCCTTGCTTTTCTTGGTAAATGATGACTCTGTTGACGGAGCCAAACTTGCCACACTCTTCCGTCACCTCACCTTCCAGATCATCATCAATGTCCTCTGGCCCAACCATATTTCGAAGCACCATCACTGTGGACTGAGGAGACATAGCCAAAATTGGTTAAACAATTTTATTTAGATAACCTAAAAAAAAACAAACAAACAAGAACAAATAAAAATTTCACTTTTACCTCGTTTCCCAAGTCTTACCTCTGATTTTCTAAGCAGTTTCTGCATCACCATATGTCTGGCACTGCTGCCTGAGATGCTCATGTGCTCTTGGTCACTCAACATCTCCTGCCCTGTACCATCCTGCAGCATCTCCTCTTTGTCTTCTTTCTTCTCTTGCTGGTTGGACCCACCAGCTTGATTAGACAGGACTGGTGGTGATGCAAGCACAGGGTTCACAAGACCAACCTGGGGAAGCACTGGTATGGGAGGACGCACCGGAGTCACACCTTTTGATTGAAGCCAGATTCAAAGACATGGTTGAATTAAATTCTAATCCTGCTGTTCATCAAATAGCTAAGACAGGATCAGCTTCCATGTGCAGACCTGCCAACCTTGAACAAAGTCTTGGTGTACCACCTGCCCAGGGGGTGCACAGTTGAGTCTTGCTACATCAGACACAGTAAAAAGTTACGGTTGTTTAAAGCTTTTGCAGCAACATTTTTAACAAGTATGTGGGTCCAGTGTTTCGTAATGAAATGTGTCAACCGCTGCAGCAGTGTTTCACAGAGGTTTTTTTATATTACCGTTTTTGAACACAACAGAGGTCTATGGCACAGATGAATAACCTAATCCAAGTTGGAGACTGACTGACAACCTCGAGTAGAGGCAGTTCATTTGTGTGGAGACTGTTGAAAATACTACCAACTTTAAGTTCCCCTAAATAGTTCCCTCCAAACTTTGCTTCTTTATATTTCCAAAAGTGCTAACAGATGGCAAGACATTTCACCTCTCATCCAATAAACATCTTTAGTTCTGACTGGTGGGGAGTCTCAGGTATTTGACCATTTTCAAGAACCTGAAGTGAGTCCAGCTGCCATTTTAAAAGCATTTTTGGATTCCCACAGACATTCCTTGGTGTTGTCTTTGCACACACAAACATAAACAGTGCTCTACAGAAAGCAAGGATGAGCTGGTCTACAGAAATTCAACAAATTAGATCAATCCCAATACAAATCCTCAGGGTCACCTCAGGACATCTTCAATTACAACCACTGTGAGGATTACGGCAGGCTCAAAATCTAACTAAACTGTGGCTAAAGCTGTACATTTTAAACACTATAAGCACAGTTAAGTTTTATCCATCTCATGCTTTTATGAAAATGAGTACTCGCTGGTACATACCTGTGATGACCCCTGGTGCCTGGGCAGCCATGACAGCCTGAGGTATCCCCATTTGCTGACCAAGAAGTTGGGGTGCAGCTAATGCTCCCAACACTGATGCACCGGCTACAGCCTCCTTAAGAGAGGGGGGCCGAAGACATTAGGCAAGGGAAACACACAGAACACAGCACAAGGCAGCACAGTCAACAATCACACAGCATAGCAGGGTGAGCTCAACCTTTCCTCTCTTCAGGGAGAATTAAGGTCACTTAAACAGTTTCAGTTTAATTTTACTAACAATCATTGACTATTCTTAACAAGTCATAAACAAACACCAGTGATGATAAAAAGTTCTCTCCATTATAAAACAATCTGATTAATGATTGAGTGCGTTTACATGGGGATGAGTACAGGATGCAGGTTTCTCAACACGTAGGCTGCAGTAGAACAAGTCAGATCACAGTGCAAAAATTCTGAAGAAACAGTACTATATGGCCAAACATTAAGGGGGTTTTATCCAGCAACTTGCAAATCCTTCAAAATAATGGATGATATGCACTGGTGACTTTCCGCTGTACAGGAGTGAGCTGTCGTTGTCATCTGCTTCCTTGTGCAATGGATACTGAGCCTTGAAGACTACATCAACTCCTGGTAGTGTTACAATGTGTAAGGGCTATTAACGTTAGCCTGTAGGCCTATATATCATCAGCCTATTCCAGCATAAAAAAAACTAATAAATACAGTTTTATCAACATGTTTTCCTTATTAAAATAGGCCCTGTTGGCTGTTCATACAGATGGATATAGATGACATCAGTAAGCAGGATACTAGTTTTTATCAGGTACACAGGGATACACATAACCATATTTCTCTATGTTCCATATAAACACCATATGCCAAATATGATCCAACCCAGGATACTCATGCCCATGTAAACACACTCAGGGTGACTGTGCACACTGAAAATTCACTTTAACTCTATCTGTGCTTATTAAAAAGAAGAGTCTTAGTTTAGACACCCAAACAGTGAATGGGAGGGCTTCAGCAAAACTGGCCTTTTCATAGTCACTTAAAAACTCTATGCCCATGTTATCTGTGCTTTTGGTGTCAATTCTAGCTAGATCTGGGTTATATTTACCTGGAAGGCCATTAAATCCCTTTGGAAGGGATTCATACTTGCCTCCAGGTCAAACAGGTTCATTGAAGACACAGCGTCAAGAGCTGACTGAGGCTTTTCATACTCTGTGAGGGAATAAAAATAGTAGTTAGTAGTAAAAGCAAGGGAAAACACAGGAGCGTGAGCGAATGAGTGACCCCCAGCTCACCAATGAAGCCAAAGCCTCTGTGTCGCCCTGTGGTGGGGTCTCTGGCTAACGTGCAAGACTTGATCCTTCCGAAGGCCTCAAACACACTCTTGATATCATCATCTGATAGGTCAGGGTGGACGGATGCCACGTAGATCCGATTAAAGGCGCGCGCCTCCTCTGCCAGTTGGTCAATGATGGGTTGCGCCTGACCGATGTTACTTGGCCGCCCAACCTACAGCACAGATCATACTGAGCAAGGGGTTCATAGTACCAACCAGGAACGCACGTCGGAAAACTCTACATGCCTGCAATGAAAACTTTTGGCAGCTACCAGGTTTAGTCAAAGCTACTATACTCAATGAGTACAGTCATGTCCAATAAACTCTGGTTATGCTCAAGTGCATGTCCTTTACCCCACTTTTTAAAAATCTGATCAAATGTTATCTTAAGCACTCAACATTTCTAGCCTATGTCATTCTATCCTAGCCACCATTTACAAAATGCTCCAACACTTAAAATCCATCATTTTCAAACAGGGAAGGGTATTAGGCTTAAAATAATTATGACACTCAAAGTAAAGCTTTGCCATAAAAAAGCTAAACTGTAAACTATGGACAATACTTATCATACTATGCAGATTATTAACACTTTTCAAAGAACCTCTAACCAACACAAATATGAAACCAACTAGTCATGTAAATTAGATAAACTGCCAGCTCTCCTGTAGTACCAAATATCTATTTACAAATAAATGCAAATACTATCAGTGTCAAAGAGGAAAATACTGCTTATTTCAAGACACCAGATTCACGCATAATGTGACTGGCTGAGCTGGTGGCAATACCGAAAGGAATAAATCTCTCACGCTACGGCTACACACCCTGACTTCTTTGGCAAAATAACTGAACTTCCTAAATGAGACGAGCATTTAAGTGGAAGTGAGATCTGTACTACAGATGGGGCGGCCAAGCAACACCAACCAGGCGCAGCCCATCATCAGTCCTCCATGGACAGAGAATGATGCCACGCGCCACTGGGCATCTTACAGGAACTTGTCACTAAAACAGCCTCGATGACATCATGGAAGCATAACACGCAACACAGATAGACAGTACACTAAACATACACACACCACACGCACCTGGAAATTAACAGACAAAGACAAGAAAAAAAAGAGAAATTAGTCATAGAAGTTATTTCACAAACTATAAAAACCCTCAGACAAATTTGTGATATTGGGCTACATAAAAAGAAGTTGACTTGACATTTTAAGTATCACAAAAAGGTTGACAAACAAACTGACTCAAAATTCCAAAGGCTGCAAAAATTAATCAAACTGCACCCCAAAAAGACAGCGGTACAGAAGAAGCAGACAAGTTGTTCCAAAGACCTAAGTCCTATCTCCAGAAAACATACCTTAATGTTTCGGCCCCCCAACATGACTGAGTTCATCTGTTCCAGAGCCAGCTGAGCAGCCTCTGGCACATCATACTCCACAAAGGCAAACCCCTAAACAGTGAAAACAGAATGGACAAAAGTGAAGATTTAGGTAGCAATTTTTGTAGTCTTCTGCACTGACGTCCAGGTGTAACTACAGCACTTACATCAGCTTTAAGACTATTTGAATGACACTAACCTTGTGCTTCATAGTAACAGAATCCCAAGACATGTCGATGCTCTTGATTGGGCCAAAGGGGGCAAAGGCCTGTCTGATGGTGTCCTCACCAAGTTCATAGTATATGGAACCCACATACACCCGACACATGATGGCTAGAGCGCGTTGCCGCTGAGCTGCCACCTGCCAACCAGGAAAAACAACCCACATTAAGCATTAGAAAGTAAACAAAAGGAAGACAAACACACACAAATAAATGTGTATTTTCTACGGTGCTTGCTTTCCCCAAAATAGTAAAAAGCCAATTCCAAGTTAGGGGGCCTTGGCAGGTAAATAGGATGATAAGGGGATACTGTAATCTATGAACATAATTTTGTGGAGGGAAAAAAGACTAACATGTATAGCCAATATAAAATACTGATGTCACCACTTTTAATTACAAAATGGCTTCTGTTACAATTGAGCAGACATATGGAGGAAAACACACTGAAGTGATCAACATGCACAGCCCCCACAAATATTTGGCTTCAGTAACTGACCTGTTGTCCAGGGATGCAAGTAAGGTAACAAAAGTAACTGTGGAGTTCAAACGAAATCCATACATAGTCTTGATGAAAGCATTTCAAACTTTCTTCTCAAGTCTAAGGGGAGGGATGGGTTAACCACCCAAAGCTGCTGTGTTTTACTGATGCCTTTAAGTCAGTCTGCTTCTTTAAATTCCATTCTGTTAACAGCAAAATAAAAAGTGCCCTATACATAACATCACTGACAGAAAAAAAAAGACTGAGATGGCCAAAAAAAATCCCTGTTCCAGTTCTCTCATTTTGATCCATTAAAAGGGATTGCTATCCCTCTTTCATCCCATGCCAAAAGTTGTTTCTGAATAAAGTAAATGCATATTTTTCAAAGTGACATGACTTTTCTCAAATTTATAAACTCTGTATAAAGTCCTTTAAAAATCCCATTAACAGCCAAAGAGCTTCAGCTATATTCTTGGGGGGGGGAAACCCTAAAAAAAAAGATCCTGTTGCTTCACCAACAGCCAATCTTTTCACAATAAATTACAGACATGGTCGCAGTTACATTAGCATTAGAAAGCCATGATTTTTCACAAAATATGCATTCAATGGTTAGATTAAAAAGGCAGGGATTGTTGACAAAGCAACCAGTAAAGGTAACAGTCCTTTCCATTGAGAATGCGCACAGAAAAATAAAATTCAATAATCTATTGACCGATTGTAAAGGTGAGAGAGGATCTCCAAAGCCCATTGTCACTGCTGCCATCTGAAAGACAGTAAAGATGAAAAAAGTGCTGAAAAGTAGGTTAGATATCCCTTAGCTTTGCTTAAAAAGGTCATTGCTTTGCTAAACAGACAAAACTGGTGTTAGGCTAACACTATATTAAGACCCTCCCTTATCGAAATTACAAATCACCACACAGCAATAAACAAACAAGTTCCCTCTAAGATTGCAAAGCATTTAATATGGTAACCAATGCCTTCATGAGAATCTTCTCCATCTGAAAAAGAGCAGAGGAAAAAGCAAGGGCACACGGTCTACACATGTGGTCTTTTTCACAAAAGAGTGGTGGTGTGGAAGAGAGTAAGACTTCCAAAAGTGCTAAACCAAAACAGACTTCTGATTACGTCTGAACTTCTAATGTATGGAAAGGTTAGGATTCGGGGTGTAAATTAGGCTAGGATTAGGGGTGTGACGAGATCTCGCAATATTAAAACGTGACGATATTTATCATCGAGGTGAAAAGCTGTTTCACAATATCAGTACATAATAGAACCAGAGCAGCAGCCAGCACGACAGAGTGTAAGGGTGAAAGAAGGTCACGCACAGCTTCGATTAGAAATTACAAGCTCATGCATAGTTCACGCACTGATAAGGTCTGAGGAGGCTCATGTGAAATCATACAGGAGAAAAGCCAGCCACCTGAGTTTCTGGCAGAACATTTTGCAGTGCTTGCATATTGTTCTGTCTTTTACTGCATATGATAATTCATACTGAGAAAGTACAACTGAAGTAAAATTCATCACAAGATTAAACATTTCAAAATGCACCTGCAGTGTTCTGGATTTTGTGATTTTCACTCTAATAAAACTATTTTTCCAGTTATATATTTCGTCATTGAAGGTTTCTTAAAAACTGCATTAAACTATGGTCTCATGAACTCAGTATCGTGTATCGTCTTGTCTCGCGAGCTAAGTGCATCGTCACACCCCTTGCTAGAATATCTACATTCAAGACTCGCAGATGACACGGACATCACAAACTTTGTGTTTGGTGCAGTTTCAAAAAAATAATGCACACATCTCACCTGCAGGTTGGTGAGCTGCTGTTGCTGATGTGCAATGGTCTGCTTCACCAACACACTCTTAATGCTTTGTTCCATGGCATACTTCTTTGCCTAAAAAAGGAGAAAAGGTGTTACATTTAAATTCCTCATATGAACACACACTTGTTTTTAAATTTATTTCCAACTACATTATACGGTCTGTATCTACTGGACCGAATCATAATGCAGATTTCAGTGCCACTTAAATGCTCGTTGATTGAAATATTTGCCCTCTGCTGCTGTGAAACAGACAGAAGCATCACAGCACATCACGTGCTAACGCGAGCATAACACTTGTGCTGTGCTCCATTTACCTCAGAAGTCTGATAACATTTACTATCCAAATTAAAATAAAGGTGCACACTTGCTATACCATCTCTGCATAGTTCCCTTTAACAGCTCTACAAGCATCTGCACTTTAATATAAACATAACATGTATGTTATGAACATGCTAACATGTAACATTACTGCTCAGGTTGTAAACATATAAGTTATGTACACATACATATCATGTCATGTCATTTGTCTTGGCCTTATTGCCCATTCTAGTGGTCTTTGTGCCCTCTGAAAATGTATGAAACCCAAGACCAAATGGCCTTGACCTTCAAAATATTAAATTTATGGCCTGGTCTTGCGCTTCATTTCTTTTTAAAATATTTGTTCTGGTACCATTTAGGTACCAGCACAGTTTTGAAAGTATCGTTTTAGCACCAGTAGCAGAAAAAAAAACAACAATACCTAACCCGAGTGGATTTACATACACACAATAAAACAAGAAAAAGCTGATTATACCAAAAACTGGACACTGGGTTTACATAGATTGTAGTAAACTGGTTAGTATAAATCTCAATAAATATTTTCAATTTATCTTACTAAAGTTTTAGGTGGTAAAAACATTAGACTTTTAGATACTCCTCTATGCTCATTTAAGTTGACATTTGAAAGAAAGTTTTAAAAAATGAGGATGCATAATTATGTGTAACAGTCTCTCTTCTCATCCAAGCTGCTGTTGTTATCTTTGCCTGAAGTCTATGTAATGCCCTTATGTGGAAAAAAATATATCAGAAACCTGGCTACATGTATCAATGGCCAAGAAACAGGGTTCATCCAGGAGTAATCGGGCTTCTCCATCATCCTGTCCCAAAGCCAGGTTTCACATATTCATACTTTTCAGAAACCAGGTTACGGAAAAAAAGCTGACTTTAACTAGGTTTCTTTAGTGCACATAAATGCATTGAAACCTGCACAGAAACTTACACAAGGAATTACATTATCACTAAGTGTACATTTAGCCAGGAAGTGTATGTCAAGGGTTTCCTACCCTCTGAAGTGCCTCCTGCTGCTCTGGGGTGAGAGGCGGCAGGCCAAGCTTGGAGCCTGTGCTCTGTCCATTCTCCATCGTCAGAGCTTCACCTCCCTGCAATTCAAACACAGCCATTTATACAAAACCTGAGTAACATAGTCTAGAGCACAAACGCCTGTCTGTATAAACATCCATAACTACATTACCTGTAATTCAATCATAAGTTATACCACCCCACACAGCAAAGGTTATCATTGTATATACTATCATATAGAGGTCATAACGTTACCCGGATTTAAACCAGGTTGGACGGTACGAACTCCTTACCGAAGCAACCCGCTAATCGCCGGGTCCACCAGACTGAGGCAGGAAAGCCCCCAGGGGGAAGAAGACTGATGGGGAAGCCTTAACAATTCAACAAATTCTAGGGGAAATAAAAAATGCCTTCAGACTACCAAAAAGAGAAACAGGCAGCTAAAATTATTTTGCATTGCAGACTACACTCAACCGGCCCGTTTCAGTCAACTACGGTTAGCTTGCTCACATGAATGCTAAGTAGCGCTCTCACGCTTAGCGTATGTTAGCTAACGTTAGTTAAGTAGCAATAACGGCTAAGGTGAAACAAGAGCTTAACGCGTGTTTAACTAGGGTCGATATGGGTATTACTACGACCATGCTTTATTACACGTCAGTAAGCTTACCTTCAATTTTATTAAAGTACTACATGATTTGCGATGCACTGTTTCTATTTAGATGGCGTATATTAAGCTATCTTTGTTGCTAGCAAGGAGCTAGCTGATATTAGCTCATGTTTAGGCCATCATCACTATGGCGTCGAACAGTCTACGTTTGCCCCAGTAAGATATATGATAATTTTCCAGTATATTTAGTACAATTCAATTCTAACAGACCTCACGCATTACTCACGTATTCACCATTTTAGCTGAAACTGTTAAAATGTCTCTTTATCAAGAAATTTATTTACCGCAGTCTCCGTAACCGCCATTAAGTACACCTCCTCCAAGAAGTCCACTCACCACAATATGCTGCTGCTGCTGCTGCTTCTTCCCCTCTTAGTATGGCGGGCCGCGAACCAACGTATTTTGGGTGCACACCGCCACCTACTGCAACGGAGTGTGTCACATCAAGATTTATGTACACCGACATTTATTTAAAACACAATAAATAAAAACACCGTATATCCTACTTTCTAATCCCGTATCTCTGGGAAATTTAAATAGAGCCCTACTACACACCACCATGCTTCTTTTTCGTCTTCTTCTTTGTGTCTAATGGCGGGTGGCAAACCAACTTCCAGTTGCATTACCGTCACCTACTCAGTAGGTCCTACTGGACAGGAGCGCACCACAACGCTCGCGAGATCTGCACGTTTCCAATGGAAAGGTGTCGCGATAGATAATCACAGTGATGGTAGAGAGAGGTAGGGAGTTTTGAATACATCCTTCTACGAATCTTTCACGAGTAAAGCTGCTACAAATCATTTCGTGACCATTCAGATTTTACTGAAGCAATAAAATAACAAAAGAAAATCATTTTTGGAGACTGTATTCTGTAACTTGACTTACTGTCTAAGATTTACCAGATCCATATTTTACATCTTTTCTTGTAATTGTGAGAACTACATTTATCTAATTATGGTATAATTTCTCAATGTTTTTCCATTTGTCAATGCAATGTGCTTCTCTAATATTCTGTTACCCGTTTAGGAGTTTCAATTGTATTGCACCATCAATTCTTTTTATAATGAAAGTGTATTTTCTTGGTGTTTTTAAATTGTTGTTTTTAGCCTAGATGGGGCTACAAATTTTGGTACCACTTTCGGGTAAGATACCATTCATAATGCCGCAATTAATGGATTTATAACGTTAATAAATAACTTACAAACACTCTATAGGTTAAAAAAGGTAGCTTGCACTAACAACACACTACCTGTTTATTTGTGACCTAACAACCTATCAGAGAATCTGATCAGTCGGATTTTGGTACCAAATAGGCAAATATCATCAAAATTAGTGGTTTTTATAATGAAGGTAAATCCATAAGTCCCAATGCCATCTTGAGCAGGAACCTAATGAGATACGTTACTGAATTGAAAACACATGTGTAACTTGTAATGTTGTCTGCAACAAAATTTGTAACACTGCTAGGATAGTTTATATGTGTCTCAGAAACTGAACCAGCCACATTCCTTTGGAAGTACAAACAACAACAACAACAACAACATCCTTTGCTAAATTTGTCTAGTTCGGCCATAAGGCATAAGCTCTTTCATTATGATCTGAAGGACAGAAATGAAGGAATATGGGACTGATAATATGCACCGATATAATATATTTTTCACAATTTGAAATTTATTCTTCATTATAATTATGGTTACCAAGAAACTGGAGATGCAAAGATGATGTAAAATTAACCCTCTCTTGCAAAATAAATTAATTTAGAAAAAAAAAAGCCTCCTCAATACACACTGGGCTATGTCTAAGAATAGTTACCTCAGAAAATTCTAATGTTATAAATCAATCAACTGTAATTTCAGACAAACATTCTACATATTTATTGTCATGTAGTTAACGGCAATAGATACAATGTTTAACTAAGGTTTAAGGAGAACACATTCCAAGACACGTTTCTTTCAACAGTCATGGGAAAATAATCATCTGATGTAAAATAAGACTGACGTGTGGACTTCTTTTTTTGTTTTTTTGTCATGTATGCCCCGTCTAAACATTCATTTTCTCGGTCAAATTCCCTCTGGAACTGTACTGTGACTGACAAAAACAAAATGCAAAGTTTTGAATGGTTCCAGGCTATTAAGACATGCAGCCTTACTAGATCAAACAAGAGCAATAGTGGCACTACTTTGCATTGAAAGTTTGTCCTATGAAAACCCTTTTAACAGCCACAAACAAATATGTACACAACGGTCTGGGAGGATTTAGGGCTCCTGTCTTCAATGTCCCACTGATAAGAAGGATTAACACAGAGAATAGTAGATAAGTACTGTGAGCAATGACTGTACAGCAGTGTTGAGTACAACCTTACAGACCCAGGCAACAAATAAAGCAGAGCTAAGTGAATGGGACAAACAGGAGTACACTGCTGAAGACTGACCAGGCAATTCACTTTTTTGTTTTGTCACAGCCCAGTTCTGTAAACTCCAATGGTAGTCCTATACACAGCCAAGACTCCATAACCGTTTATCCTCCATAACCCATTGAAATAAAGGTTGGCAATATTTCTCATTTCATACATGTCACAAATATTAAAACCAAATTTTTTTAAATATATGCTGAGTGGATTTTTTTTCCCCCTTAAAACACCTCAAGAAACATTTACAAAACAAATTCAATTAGAGAAGATTCTCAGATGGTTTGGGAAATACAGCAAAGTATGCACTAATATTTACTGACAATATAGCAAATCTAATAGCAAGTCTCAAGATCACATTACTAACACCCTTTATCCTATTTACATAGGACAATGTTTTTAAATCACAAGCTTCCCATGATGCATTCTAATTACTTTTTTGATTGCAGCAGAGAGGATTATCATCTGATCCACATGTCCACTGAACAAGAGCAGCTGCTATTATTGGAGCTGCCATTGTCATGTGTCAACTTAATCTTCACGTTCACACAGACTGACTTGGTGGACTCCTGATAAGAGATGGCTGCTCACCTGAATCACTGCAGCTGATTTTAGTACTGTCGAGGTCAGCCTTGAATGATTTATGCTGGAATGGGTGCCCCTGGGTTCAAAGCTATTTCCTGAAAAAATTTTATTCATTGCCATATCAGGCACTTTGCAGGTCTTTGGCTTTCAGAACTCTTTCATGGGGAAAACCCTTAGAGCACTACAGTCTAAAATAGAGGCATCATTTCGTTGCTCATCATTAGACTCAGAGAAATAGCCTTTAACCCAGGAGGGCAGTGAAGGGTGTTGTTTTGCAGGTAATAAAAATTAAGCAAAAAAAGCACAGTGTGCAGTGATTCTACTGTTCACAGTTAAACTGAAATAAATAAGTCAACTGAATCAAGTATTAACAGTGCATGCTAGATGAAATATTAACTTCCCAAAAAAAGTAATAAACTGAAGGTTCTGGCTTGTGAGGGAGCTAAATAGCTTTGTTTACATTTCAAAGTAAAGCTTCAACAAAGCCAAAGTGGGCAATGGAGTGCAAACAAGGCAATAAAACATCTGCAGTTGTAAGTAAAACGTATTTGTTTTGATTAGTGGCATTATGGAAAACCTAAGTTGTCAAGACATCCTAAGGCATGATGGGCCTTTCAGGCAGGGAGTTTGTCAATCTTCCACTGTTCTGTGGGATTGCAGAACACAACCGTGATGCCTCTGGTCCTCCAACCAGAGGTGCTGTCGGTACCTCTCTCAGTGCTGACGATTTCTTCTTGTCTCTGGGATGATTTACTGACTGTCAAGTCTGTGTTTGTCCCCGTTTTATCCCCAGCTGGGTCAGCTCCCTCCACTCCTTCTGTTCCTGGCTGTGAGATCCTGCCTGTTGCCCTGTACTTTTCTCAATCCTTGTGGTCAACATCCTGGGCCCCTCTATCTGGGCCAGCGTGCTGTCGTAACTCCTCTTCACAATGTGCTCCCGGAGGTGAGCGTTCGGACCCGGTGTCGGCTGATGGCGTCCTCCAAGAACCCCGCCACCTTCTCACTGTCTTCCTAAACAGCACACAGAACATAAAGAGTGTTCGGTCAAAGTCTCTTTTGAAAATAAGTCCAGTACAGTATATGTAACATAGATATCAAATGCATCATGTGTAACAATTTGAGCGAAAAGTTTGAAAATGTAGATCAAGAAGGAAAATAAAGTAGCTTTCATATCTACCTCATTTATGAAGGCGTAGTGAACAAGTTCATTGGCAAGATCTTTGGAAGTGTCAGCTGAAAGGTTCACAAGAAATAATTAAGTTATAAAAATTAAAGATACAAAGAATGTTTTTTAAAAAATCCGCAATTTTTTCCTATTTTCGTTGCCGTCAACAAAATCCTTAAAAATATAGCTTATTCCACTGTGCGATAGAGCTTAACTGTTGTCCAATAACATATGAATGAGCTGAACTGATTCACTGAGTAATGTTCCTTCATTACCACGAACACATGTTAAGCAGAAACTAACAGGCTTGGAGCCCAGAGCCATAGAAAGGTGAGAAAAGTATTAGCAGACTGATGCTTTGTTGGTTTACATCTTTGGCTGGGATTTGTTGACAAGAAAAATAAATAATAATTCTAAACTTAAGGTACAGTTGCAGCGAACTTACTTGGAAGGATGTCACAGCTAAGTTGCCTATGAAGTTTATCATCCATCTTCAGAAACAAAGAGAGCTAAGGGAAAAAAATGGCACCGGGTAAAATCTAAATCATGCCTAACCACCATAACTGACTGAAACCCCCCTAAAAAGTGCTTATGATGAAATGGGCAACTCACATGAGTTTTTGTCCCTTCTTCATTCGACTCCAAATTGCAGTGTATCTGAACAACCTACAACATCACACAAAAATGATCACAATGAGTAACAAGCAAAACAGCTTTCAGATATTTTGGGTGATTTATGCTTGTTTATTATCACTGCTAATAAACAAACATGATAACAGTAAGCTGACAGACAAAAACAGGCTGATCCTGTTACATAATGTACATAAGCAACACATACTTTTTAGAAAAATCTGCAATGGAAAATTTACATGTTTCTGACACAGTTGATCTAGTGTTATTAAACAATTCTAAATATGGCAACAAACAACAGAGACTGTTTTTCTGTTTGTAGGTGGCACATGATTTTGTTGCAGTCCCTGCCCAGTTTGTCTGTGTCAGTGTCTGTGCTTCCTTTAATCTGTACTGCAGTCTGACTGTGGGGACTAGGGAGATTTGAAGCAGCTGGGTCAAGAGCCCCCCGGGACATAAAAGATCCAACCTCTGACACACTCTCCCCTCTGCCCTGCATCCATTCACTTCCTTTGCTGGGATGCGTTCGCACTTTTCAGCATCCGATCACCTTATTTAAAGCCATGCACATTTACTTCATTGATGCTACTGACTAACATAACCTGAGTTTTTTTAAGCAGAAGTACAAAAGTATTGGCATCAAAATATACTGGTATCAAAAGTAAAAGTACTCATTATACAGAATGGCACATAATAAATATTAAATTATTGGAATATAATTATTGACGCACTATTGTGTACATCGCATTTAATGCTGCAACTAGTAAAGCAGGAGCTTATTCAACTACCTGTTATGCTTATAATTTGAAGTACCATTGGGTATTTTGTGAATTTCCAATCAAGGCCAATAAAATCAGATCACTGTATTTTGTATAGTTAATCTGATTCTGAAAAGTAACTAGTAACTAAAGTTATCAAATAAATGTAGTGGAGTAAAAAGTATTGCCTCTAAAATATAGTGAAGTCAAAGTATGAAGTAACAGAAAATGAAAATACTCAAGTACAGATACCTCAAAATTGTACTTAAGTACAGTACTTGAGTAAATGTACTTAGTTACTTTCCACCACTGGAAGTGTGTCAGTGGTGTATAAGGTAGGTTAAAACAAGACAATGTAGATGCATGCTCTGCTGGCAGCAAGACTGTGCATTTAACACAGCTGTGATGACGCAGACATGTCTGAAGACTAACCCTCCTTGTTTCCATCTCCTGCGGTTCAGGAGTTGGTGTCTTGACCGTCTCCACCTGTTCCTGAGACAAAGACAGGGCACGAGGGACAGGCTGAGGTCGAGTCGAGGCAAAGTTCATCAAGGGGTAAATCCCATTCCTGAAAAGAGCAAGGGACAAATGTTGAATTCTATGCTGAAGTCACATGGTAATCACTGATATAAACAAAATCATACAGACATGGTTAAAAGTACTGGTACCTTTGCACCTCACTGAAAGTCATTCTGCCTGAGAAGTACTGAAATTAGAAGCTGTTCTGTCATGCATACCATACCTGCATATGGTTTGCAACAGAGTACACAAGCTACAACATACATACAAGTAAAAGCACCCAGGAATGGATGAGGAGAAAATACTGGACTCTTCTGAAGTGACCTGCCATGAGTCCTGATCTTAACCCAACTAAACATCTATGGAAAGTGATCACCAAGCCAGAGGGAACTGGAGTCTGCTGGGTCAAACTATTGGCTGAGAGGTGTACAGAGCTGCAGAGAGAGTTTGACTGCAGTGATTGCCTCAAAAGGATGTGCCACACACATTAGGCTAAGGGTCCCAATGTATTTTTCCATGCCATTTTCATTTGTTGTACTATTTTAAATAATTTGTCACACTGAAAATCTGAATGTCTGTTCTATTAAATATGGAACAGACAGAACAGTGGATGGCAGTTACTTTTGTTAGTTTCATCTTAGTTCACTTTTTTCCACTTACTTTACATCCTCCAGAAACTTGTCAAGCTCCAGAGGGGACACATGGGAATATCTAAAGGATGTGAAAAGAGCACAGTGAGTGTTGTGTTTGACAAGCTGCGATATGCACAGGTTGCCAAAGAAAGGTGTTTATTTAATTTTACTTAAGCTGAACTCCTGGTCTGCCCTCATGTCTGATCTCTGCCATGACCGCGTTGGGGTCAAAGGACTTGGTTTTCTCCTCCACACAGTTCTCTGGAAGCAGGTCTGGAGATTAAACACACATTTAGGAAAATGAGTCCAATGCCTATAAGAGCAAATGTGATTATACCATCATTTGCCCCATTTTAGCAAGGTTTTTTTTAAACATGCAGAATTATGACCCATTTTTCTTTTCAAAATCCTTTTCAGGGTGCATCTGAATGTGACATGTAGACCTATGATTTCATAGAGAATAAACGGCTCCGCCTTAATTGCATAATAACTTATTTTAATTTAGCATCAGTTTTGGGTCTAACATTTGTTTGCTGCTTGTATAAATGCTGTATCTATCAGAGCATTGAAAGAGGAACAAATAATATTTGTGGAGGCAGGTGGAGGTGAGAAACTCACACTGGTTATTGATGAGGCAGTGGGCGGCGAGCAGTTTGAGGGAGTGAACCTCAAACAAGACTCGGTGGAACAGAAGGTCGTGAGCGGTAGGACGGAGCTTGGCTTCATGACGCAAACAAGACTGGGTGAACTCCTGCAGAAAGCATCAACAAACTAAGTCCAACATATAACTGAACACACAGTTTGCCGTAGAGTTACTCAGTGTCAGTCCAAAACTGTATAAAGTCCCTGTATGAGGCCTGGAATAGTCTAAAAGTAAGGTGTGAGTGTGTTCATAGACTGGTGTGGGACACTGTGTCTTTATCATAATGTTTTCTTAGTTGCACAGTATATATTTTGCATATGAAGAACATTATTTGTGACACCCACCCTCATGAGAGGGTCTTCCAGAGATTGACCTGCATTGACAATGGCCTCTTTGGACACAGCAGTATCACCATTGGCCTGTATCTCTAGAACTGCCATCTAGGGGTACAAATACTCTGTTAACATACACACACACACACACACACATATATATGTTATACTGCGTGTATATACATATGTATATGGGAATCTTACAGATATGTTTCGCTCACCTCTAGAGCACAGATGCCAAAAGAGAAAATGTCTATGGCATAATCGTCTGCACCAGCTAGAAAAGGAGAAGTAAAGACGGATGAGGACAGGGTGACACAGAGACATCCTTAAGGAAAAATCTTACCTCATCATTAAAATATAGTCATTATTTAGTCAGTGCATTCAGGATTTCCAATAAGGCAAAGACAAATTACAAATTTCACTCAAAAGGCTTTGTAATCTATAAAAAAATACAAATCCATTGTCTTTTTACTGTTGTAAAAGTGGCACAAAATATCTTTTAAACAGCTCCAAATGATTTGAGTGGAATAATATACATTTTGTGGCTTGTCAGTTTTACTGTAGATCCAGTAATTCCTACATGTATCTTATTATTTTCTACAATTACAATCAACAGATTACAAAAATTCCCACAGCTATCTGGTGGAAGGCCCTTTTACTGCAGTGAGCTCTGCAAATTATTCGGTTCCGCTGCACAGCACGCTCACAGAAACAATGGGCAAGAATTTGTTTACAAGCTTCACAAAGATGATCCTTTTAATTTCAGCAGAGAGGTTAGCATGTCGTTACAGGTTGTGGCTGTGGGTTTGGTGGACTGATGCCTTCAGGGAGGCTTTGAGCGAAATTCAACTGGGGAGGTGCTGACTGAATTTTTGCTCTGAGGTACATCCACTAAAAATGAAAGAAGATAGATTAGATAGAAAAGGTTAGACACATCACCTCCATATTCTGGAGCAAAGAAGTGGAGATTCCTCTGTTCATCGCGGTGTTGCCTTCCTTTACTATGGACACCAGCATCTGGGAACACTGGTTAAAGAAGACACAAATAATAAATAAATAAAGAGATGAATAGAAGAAATAAAATAATGGATCAATGAAAACATATACTATCTGCAACAAAATTATGCAGTTCTTACCATTAACAAACAGCCGATGCCACACTGTGGAAAGAAAATTAAGTTTAAACATTCTAAATCCAGAAGTACACAGTCTGAGACAACAGCACAGGCTTTCAGTACTGGTTGTAGTGACATAATAAGCCCTGCTGGGGGCAGACCTGAGCCAATCTTGATGAGGCCGTTGTGCTGGATGAAGATGGTGTCGCATGTCAGGTTGCCATGGATTATCGGTGGGTCACAAGAGTGCAGGTAACTGTCAGAAAACAAAACAACATCTGGTTAATGTTCCAGCTGTGACTGAAGACATCTCACTTGCCAAAATCCTGGACAAGAAATCAATCAAGTACCTGAGAGCAGAGAGAATCTGGGTGCACCACCTCTTCCAGGCCTAGAATATCAAGTAAGGGAGCAACATGAAACAGACACCACATGGAAATTTATATTGTATTGTAATATGCTACAATATTTCTCCCTCATTCTCACTGATTAAAAGAAAGAAGGCCACACTATACATATATCACTGTTTACATTTTTTCTATCATTTATAGCATTGAATTATTAAATTAAAGCAGCGGAGAAAACGAGGATAAGATGCTGGATAATTACAAGCAGGTTTCAAACCCACAACGCTGTGAAAATAAGAAACACAGTACTTCTGAGCAGACTGAGCCACCAGGCTGTCCTGTTACATAATCCCTAATCCTGCTAGAACTTTGGCTCTGAATACTGACAGACTGCAGTACCCTGTATCGCCACCATGCAAAACTACAAGAAACAGTCCAGTACAGTATGTGACCGCAGTGGAAACACTGACCTTCACATTCATGGTCTTGTGATTCTTCTTAGTTTTCTTCAGGAACTGCTTGAGGCTGCCCGACGACATGTATTCGGTGATAAATATAACCTGCGGGCCAGAAATGGAGGAGGGGAAAACTGTATTACTGTATGTGTGCGTGTGTGTGTGTGTGTGTGTGTGTGTGTGTGTGTGTGTGTGTGTGTGTGTATTAAAAAAAAATAAGGAGAGATGGCAAGAAAGAAAGCCTTGTCACCCGAGCCTGGCTCTCCTTCATGTCCAGCCAGTACTTGTGGAACTTGACAATGTTGGGGTGTTCAACTTGCATCAGGTTTTCAAACATCTCCTTGATCTTCTCCTGGAAAATATATATTAGAGCTCGTTCACATGTTCACATAACCTTCAATCCTTCGGACACTAAACCTTCTCCATTAAAGCTAAAACTAAATCCACAACAATTTAAATCATCTGTTAAATGTTTAAGTAGACTTTTAGCAAAAATGGCCAAAAAAGCCTCCACAATTTAGCTTTTTAAAAATCCATACTATGTTGGTAAAAGAGTCATAATACCTCCTGTGCTTTGAAGACCTTCTTGTCATTGAAGAGCACCTCATTCCACACCACCTCCACACCCTCCTCTGTGTCCATGGCCAGAGAGGCACTCTCCACACCTGGGACATTACCTTGGCTGACCTGCAGGGGGCAGACAGGGGCAGATACTGAACTTAGAAATAATTACACTGCAGCTACAGAATCTGATGAGTTTATACTGCAAAGAGAACATCAAACCTGCATTAACTGCAGGGCTCCAGACTGGGAGTGATTAGGGACTAAACCGATTTAAGGTGCGAATGAGTGTTCACAGCAAAATAAGCTGGTGTTAAAACCAGAACGGCTTTCCTAACAGCTCTGTAGAAATCCTACGCATACAGAGCAGTGGCAAAAAGCCGACTAAAGTATCAGTGTGATGATGTCAGGCAGGGAAAAGAGACAGAAGGCAGGTGAAGGAGTTACTGCTGTCAAAAGGCAGTGTTTTGACA